CCAAAAGTTTTTCTCTGTTGCCCAGTCTGCAGTGCAGTGGTGTGATCATAGTTCACTGCAACTTTGAACCCCTGGGCTCAAGTGATCCTCCTGCCTCAGCCTCCCAGGTTGGTAGGACTATAGGCATCTGCCATCACACTGGGCTATTTTTTTAAAATTGTAGAAATGGGGTCTCACTATGTTGCCCCTGCTGATCTTGAACTCCTGGCTTCAAGTGATCCTGCCACCTTGGCCTCCCAAAGCACTGGGGTTACAGGGGTGAGCCACTATTCCCAGCCTTACTTTTTACATCTTTAGGGTAACCTATATTTACATACAAAGTTAGTCTGTGCTTTATTATGCTTTATCAGTTTTTTTCTTTTTAAGTCAGAGTGTTATGTTAGCTTTCTGTTACTTTTGTCCACTTGAACACTTCATATACCATGGGAATTAATTGTGTTTGAAGTTCAGAGAGAACTTGATTGTGTAAGTAATCTGAACTAAAAGCTTTTTTTGGAAATAATTTCTTATTAACTTTTACATTTTTCCATGGTTACTGATCTGTTGTTTTTTTTGACTTCTTCCTGGGTCAGTTTGCTTCTAATTATTATTTTGGCTGTGTCTCCCAATATTTGATATGTGGTATTCTCATCACTGAAACCTTCTAAGCATTCATTCTGTAATTGTGTTTTTAATTTATTCTCCAATCAATGATTTTTTTTTTTAAGAACTTTGAAGTTTCCCCAAGAGCTTGGGGTCTTTTTGACTTATACTTTTGTAATCAATGTATAGTTTTGTTACAGTGTGATCATAGAATGTGGTCTGACAATTTCTTTTGGAAAGAAATTACTTACAATTTTTTTTGGTAGCCTAATATAAAATCAAGTTTTACAAACTTTTCTTATATTTTTTTCTTAATGGGCTAGACAGAAGATCCTTCTCTTTAATTATTCATTTATTCATTGAGAATTGTTTCCACCATGTGTCTCATACATGCCAGGCATTGTATTAGGCATTGCAGGATATAAAATGAATTAGTCATAAGCTTTGTCTTAGGTTGATAAAGTTTGGATGGAACATAGACACATGTAGACCTAATTATAATACAGAAAGAAATGCAACCACAGCAAAATGTACAAAAGCAGCAGGCAGCTAGAGTGGGAGTGAAGCCCTGTCATAGGTTCTGAGAATACAAACTTGCCTACGATGGCCCTGAGAGGCTTTCAGTCCTAGCGTGTAAAACATACATTGAGAGCAGAGACAGGCTTTTTGGAGGCAAGGTGATTAATTAGGAAATCACTGCAGACCTTCAGTAATAAATCAGAACATATGAGGGACGGTAAGAGTGCAAGATGAGAACAGAGGATTTTCACACTTAAGGGACAGATAGCAGAAGAGAAGTCCAGACCGGAGGATGAAGGAGGTAGTAGTAAAATTTTATAGACGCTGTGCGAGAGTTTTTCAAGGGGTGCTTGGTCAGTTGGGACAAACAGAGCCAAAAGGTCAAGTAAGATGACTCTCACCTGGAATCCCAGCACTTTGGGAGGCTGAGGCGGGCAGATCACAAGGTCAGGTGTTCGAGACCATCCTGGCCAACATGGTGAAACCCTGTCTCTAGTAAAAACATGAAAATTAGCCGGGCCTGGTGGCACGTGCCTGTAGTCCCAGCTACTCGGGGGGCTGAGGCAGAAGAATCGCTTGAACCTGGGAGGCGGAGGTTGCAGTGAGCTGAGATCATGCCACTGCACTCCAGCCTGGGTGACACAGCAAGACTCCGTCTCAAAAAAATAAAAAGAAAAAAAAAATTTAAAAAGTTTCAGTTACCTTTGGTCTTTGGGGACTTGGAAAGAGCAGTTTCAGTGAAGTGGGGGAGAAAAGCCAAGCCACAAGCAGGTTGAGACTAAATGGGATGTGAGATGGTGGAGACAAGTATTTTTTCAGGAGCTTGGTTGTGGAGGGAATGCAGGAGTTAGGGCGGTAATTAAAGGAGCAAGGCTGGCTGGGTGCGGTGGCTCACGCCTGTAATCCCAGCACTTTGGGAGGTCAAGGCAGCTGAATCACGAGGTCAGGAGATCAAGACCATCCTGACTAACACGGTGAAACTTCATCTCTACTAAAAATACAAAAAATGTAGCTGGGCATGGTGGCGGACACCTGTAGTCCCAGCTACTCGGGAGGCTGAGGCAGGGCAGGAGAATGGCGTGAACCCAGGAGGTGGAGCTTGCAGTGAGCTCAGTTTGCACCAATGCACTCCAGCCTGGGCGACAGAGCAAGACTCCATCTCAAAAAAAAAAAAAAAAAAAAAAAAGAGCAAAAATCAGAAAGACTGTTGGGATATAAAGACAATGTGAGAACGTGAGCATGTTTAGCTAATGAGGAGTGCGTGCTGAGAGCAAGGGAAGGCATGGCTGTTGTTGAGAGTCCTAAGCAGGTGGGAGACACATGGTGAGACACAAAGCCCAGGTGGGAGGTGGCCTCTTGACAGGAATAGGGCACCTCTTCTTGAGTCGAAGGCAATGCTTGGAACTGGTAGGGAGTGTGGGCAGAAAGATGGGCTCTCCCCCATTTCTTTGCAAGGCTGTGTCATCGTAGAACCTTTAGTCACAGTCCTGGACTCTGACTGAAAGGGTCCTGGGTCTTGGCCTCTGTGTTAACAGTTTGCTTCATAGGGAAGATTTAGGATTCATCCCTTCCTCTCCTGCTATAGAACTAGAAAATAATCTCTACACCAGTGGTCCCTAATGTATTTGGCTCCAGGGACCAGTTTCATGGAAGACAATTTTTCCACGGACTGGGAGTGGGGGGATGGGGATGGGTTCAGGATGAAACTGTTCCCCCTCAGATCATCAGGCATTAGACTCTCATAAGGAGCATTCAGTGTAGATCCCTTGCATGCACAGTTCACAATAGGGTTCATGCTCCTATGGGAATCTATTGCCACAGCTGATCTGACAGGAGGCGGAGCTCAGATGGTCATGCTCGCTTGCCTGCTGCTCACCTCCTGCTGTGCAACCTGGCCTCTAAGAGACCACAGACAGGTACCTATCCATGGCGTGGGGGCTAGGGACTCCTGCTTTACACTTATGATATAGTTTGGATGTTGTGCCCACCCAAATCTCATGTTGAGATGTAATCTCCAGTGTTGGAGGTGGGGCCTGGTGGGAAGTGATTGGATCATAGGGACAGATTTCTCATTAATGGTTTGGTACAATCCTCTTAGTGCTGTTCTTATGATAGCGAGTGAGTTTCTTTTCTTTTCTTTTCTTTTCTTTTCTTTCTTTCCTTTCTTTCCTTCCCTTCCTTCCTTCCTCCCTTTCTTTCTTTCTTTCTTTCCTTCCTTCCTTCCTTCCTTCCTTCCTTCCTTCCTTCCTTCCTTCCTTCCTTCCTTCCTTCCTTTCCTTTGGTGTTTGTTCGTTGTGTGGCAGCGGCGGCGGCAGCAGCGGCAACATATGCCTGCATATATATGCATGCGTGTCAATATTGTTTGGTACTGGTGCAGTGCAGTGGTGCACTCTTGATCTTGGCTCACTGCAACCTCTGCCTCCCAGGCTCAACTTCCTTCCTTCCTTCCTTCCTTCCTTCCTTCCTTCCTTCCTTCCTTTCCTTCCTTCCTTCCTTCCTTCCTTCTCTCTCTCTCTCTCTCTCTCTCTCTCTTTCTTTCTTTCTTTCTTTCTTTCTTTCTTTCTTTCTTTCTTTCTTTCTTTCTTTCTTTCTCTCTCTCTCTCTCTCTCTCTCTCTCTTTCTGTCTGTCTGTCTCACTCTGTTGCCCAGGCTGGAGTGCAGTGCAGTGGTGCACTCTTGATCTTGGCTCACTGCAACCTCTGCCTCCCAGGCTCAAGCATGCCACCATGCCCGGCTAATTTTTGTATTTTTAATAGAGACAGGGTTTTGCCATGTTGACCAGGCTGGTCTCGAACTCCTGACCTCTGGTGATTCACCCTTCTCGGCCTCCCAAAGTGCTGGGATTATAGGCATGAGCCACCACGCCCAGCCGATAGTGAGTGAGTTCTGGTAAGTGCTGGTCATTTAAAAGTGCCCCCTCTCTGTCTTGCTCCTGCTCTGGCCATGTGGCTCATCTGCTCCCGCTTTGCCTTCCACCATGATTGTCAGTTTCATGAGGCCTCCCCGGAAGCCGAGCAGATGCCAGTATCATGCTTCCTGCATAGCCTGCATAACTGCGAGCCAATTAAACTCTTTTCTTTATAAATTACCCAGTCTCAGGTATTTATAGCAATGCAAGAATGGACTAATACAACTTACCTTTCCTGAGGCTGTTGTCTCTGTTGGGCAATGAGGAGTTTCTAGAAGTCTCTCTTTCTTTAACTATGTGGCATGCAATGAATCATCAGAATAATTAACCCAGTCAATTGTAAACAAAGTGATTGATGGATGCCATCAGATCACAAAAGTTCCTATTACCGTAAATACAAGTGGATAAGTAAATTAAAATAATGTTTCAAATCCTCAGTAGACCTCTTTTTCTGTTTCTAATTAAAGATTGTCACATCAACACATAAACAAAAATGCCTGTGAAGGAAATGTGTATTTTAGTGCACTGCATTTTTATATCTGAAGTTTATTTCTATTCCTAACTTTAAACGCTGAGAAAGGGATTTGTTTTGGTGCTTACAAAATTTTCCCGTTTGCTCTTTGGGCTCTCACAAGTTGACAACAAATTACTGAGACCGAGGGTTTTTGTCTTTTTCTGTTATTCTAGAAAACGCTGTATCCTCTGTATGGAGGGAAATTTCTGGTTTGATTAACACTGTAAATTATTATGAGACAAAGCCTAAATATAAAAGATTACTCACACAGGCTCTTACGTTGAGTAAGATATTATGTATTAAAAATCAGGGTTAATAGTTTAACAGGCTTGTTATGGTTCAGAAATCCCCTGGGGGACTTCAGCCGTCTTTTCTGGATGTTCACTTTGCCAAAGAGGCTGCCTCTCTGTCATATCCCTACCTGAAGGGCGGGCTCAGACACTGACTGGGGGAAGTGTCACCCTTACTATACCAAGAAGTCAGACATCCAAGGTCAGACACTATGCAAAGCCAGATACTTCAAGGGCTTTCCTTGGAAGGGAGGATGAAAAGGGAAGGGTAGGAACATCAGCTCAGGTGAGACATATGAATTCAACGAAACATCAGGGATGGTTTGTCATGTTTGCGAGCAGCACAGAAAACGGCAGTTTGCTCCAACTTCCCAGCACACCAAAGGGGGCAGCAGCGCGTCTGTAAAGTGCGTGGTCGACTTGGTGATAATTTCTGTTTGCATTCACACTCACTGATAATCTCAACTGTTCGAGGCAATTCAACAGATAACAATGCGGAAGTTTGGTCTAAAGCCACCTGAAATCACTTCCACGAGCTCTTCCAGCTCTTCTGATAAAGCTGCCTTTGATAGTCTTCATGAACCCCTCCCATATTTGCCCCTCAGAGTCCCTTGGCTTAGCAGCCCCAGCCTTTGAAGTCCAACCTAAGCACTCTTAGATGATGAGTGAGGGTCTGCCTTCCCCAGCACCAGCCACTTAGTCAGGCTTGTGGCTGGTCTAACAAACTGGAGCCTGGAATTCTGAGAAAACGAAACCAAACAGTTGTACTCCGGGGTTAACACAGAGTAGCTTCTACCTGCTGAGTTGGTGATCCTTTCTCTTGCTGTTGGAGAGCCCCAGTGAAAACTTCAGTGAAATGAGAGGGCATGGAGCCTGCCAGTCGCCCGCCCTGCACACACACACACGCAAACACATTTAACTTTCCACTTGCAGTGACCTGCCCTCCAGTGTGACTTATCAGCTGTTTGGCTTTTGTCACTAAAGGAAAACAAATTGTGGAATGTCCTGCTCTGTATGCTTATGAGATGGCCGAGCCAATTTAGGGGTTATGAGGTGGTTTGCAAGTGAGGAGAAGAATGATCTTCAGTTTCTGACCTCCTGGCACGGTGGCGGGCGGTATTTATCAGGAGGTACATGTGACTGGTTAAGACTCAGAGCCCCAGCCTGAAGGAAACAGCTGCTCGCGGCGTGCTCCGGCACTTGGCAGCTGGACAGGCAGAGTGCTGATGTGAAAAATACCACCACGACAAAACCACCCCAGTAAGTAACTGGAGAACTTTCCTCTCTCTCTTTCATTCTCTCTCCGTATGTGTGTGTATGTGTGTGTGTTGCAGGCCACCAAAAACTTTTTATTTTGATTGTGGTTTCCCTCTGGCACGATAGGAGGAGATATTTTATTTGTACCTGTTAACAGCCATTGGTGTTTTCACAGCCCTCTTTTAGAACCTGTTATTTTCGGCAATGGTGTCTTGTAACTTTGAGGATGAACAGGGCATGTGGCTTCACTCCTGTCTAGGAAACAGCGAGTTTGTTTCCCAGTGTTCAGGATTTTTCTGGTCCATGGTGTTTAGGTTCAAAGCCAAGATTCAGGTTATGAAGTAGAGACTTCATTGAAGTGAGTTGATGACTAGATTTGATTTTAATCTGTTTCTACCACTGAAACCTGAAAACATACTTGTTTAAAATGACTTGTGAATTTGTTGTATGGCTGACTTGGCTTTTCCTATGCAATTTTTGAGAATATTTCATTTAACTGTGTAGAACTGTCTGCAGTATAGAAGATTGACACAATAATATTTAGATTCACATTAGAAATCATATTTAGATTTCTTGCATGGTTTCCAACTAATTGAAAGCTGTATTTTATAGCTACCTTATTTCCCCCCCAACAAGCTAATTCACCTTCATTACTTTTAAATGTTCAGTTGCCCCTGGTCTTCTTTATTTTAGTGTTTTCGTGATGCTCGGGCTGTTTCTTCCTTGTTTATGACCTGGTTGGGAAAGTGCTGCCTGCAGCTGATGATTAACTCTGGGAGGCCTGGCATCCAAATTACAGAGAGGACCGGCTCTTTCTCAGATTCATTCAGCAGTAATGGTGCTTGCTCTTGGGAGAGCAGCAAAGCAGGCACCATGCTGGAACTGAGCTGTTGTTCAGCGACTTTTGTCCTTCCTTGGTAGTCACCAGACAGAATGCTTCAGAGGAAAGGCAAAAGGGGAAAAGAGAGAGGGCAGAGCTCTAAACTGATGACGTAAACCTCTCAAAGTGACAGGTCTTTGAATCAGAGGCTGCAGGGAGATAACCAAACAGGTTCCTGTTTCTGGAGATTGCACGGACCTTGAGGAGGGTGGGTAGAGAGGGGCTGTTTTTATTTGAAGTCTCACCAAATAGTTGTTTTGCTTGTGATAAGCCTAGGACAACCTGGAGTGTGCTTGTTTCCTCGTGTGACAAATGGATTCTCAAACAGGCTCAAGTTATATGATTTTCTTTCACCCTCTGCCCCCTGCCATGAGGGAACACTATTCTGTCCCCACCTTTACCGCCCCTTGTTGTTTGTGGAGAATGGATTAAAATTGACCCAGGGCACGCCACTTCTGTGGTCGAGTTTCCCTAAACACAGTGGGTCTTGAGTACCACACCAACCAATGTTCTCTGATGGAAGCACTTTCAGATGCCCTGTCTAAACAAATGGCTAGCCTGACACTGAGAAGTTCTCCACCTTCTTTTCCTTAAAATTTAGAAGAATCCACAAAACCTAGAGTGGCCAATGAGGAAAAATAGTCCCAACTTCTTCTCTGTTCCTCGGTATGGCATTTGTGTGAGGTCCTTGGGTCAGCCGGTGGCCATGTGGTCTGTGACTTCCCTGTCTGACTGCTGGGGGAGGGGGGTCCTCCTGAGTCATTCTTTAGGGAGTTTGTTCCTGGTATAGTTTCATTTTTTCCACAGGTTGATAGTGGAAGAGAACCCTCTGGTGAAACTGTGTCTCTGGAATCATCGAGCCTTCCATAATAAAATGGAAGGTCTAAATGGGAGCAGTTGAATTATCCAACTGCTGTATTTTTGAGAGCCAACAGACTCTTTTGAAAAACCCATGATACCCTGACTTTTCAAAATATTAATAGCAAAATAATAAAAAATAATGATTTTACTTGCAGATAGCACATCCATTGACTCAAAGACTTTTTGACCTGGATAGGAATGACAGAATGTGCAATTTAACTCTTTCATTTCAAAGATGAGGAAACTGTAGCAAATTTATTGAAGTCACAGTGCAGACCCAGAAGAGAGAGCTCAAGGCTTCTACGACTATTACCATCATAATTTCAATGCTAATAACAATCCCTTACGTTTATTGTGCACTTACTATGCCAAATGATGTGCTAAACAAGTGTATTTATTTTCATAGTCTCCTCACAATAACTCTATGTGCTATATATTATTATTCCAGTTTTATAGATAGGAAACCGAGGTTCAGAAACCCCTTAGTTACTTGACCATACGTAACACAGACGAGAGGGACACCTGGATCTGACTGTAGAACCTGTAGATATTAAAAAATAAAAGTGGAATCCCACACATTTAAATTTAAAAACTCACAACATGCAAATGAGAGTATTTCCAGCACAATATGATTACACACACAATGTGTGTTATGGCCTCTTCGAGCTCTCCATGACAGGAAGGGCTAGGTTTCCCCCTGGGACAGTCCAAGCCCAAGCTCTATAGGATCACTAGCTGGTGGCATGTTTTTCTCTTTGAAAATAGTTCAGTGACGGTCCTGATGTTGGTAAGAACAGCAACTGGGAACTTTGTTATTAACCTCCAGCACATGCCTCCCATGCCCCTTCTGGCCTTTCCCTCCATTTTTCCTGTCACTCCTTTCCTTTGGAAGACAGCCACTCCGCCCATGCCCCACCCTAAATGGCTGGCTTAGTGTTGATAAAGCTATTATCAGACCCGTTCCCTGTGCTCAGCCTGGAAGGTTGGTTGTCTGAGTAGGTCGTTGATGAATAGAAACCATGCACTCTGCCACTCTGCTCCATTTTTTTGAGCTGTGGGTGTAGGGGGTGGGTCACAGGGCAGGGGACTAGCTGGCAGGGGGAAGGGAGGAGAGATGTGCTCTTCTCCGCTGCCTGCACCTGCCATTTACCCTGAGTCACACTTCTCCGCACACCAGTTGCATATCTAAAATTCTGGCGGTCTCATGGGCAGGCCATGAACCTGTGGATTTTCTGGGTCATCAGACATGCAGAGCCCTTAAGAAACCTGCCTCCTCCTGAATCCTTTTAAAAATGTCGCTTGCTGCCCACATTCCTCCACTTTAGGTTAAGTGTCAAAATTAGGGTTGGAGATAATGGGAAAGAGCACCAGGTAGTACATAATCAGCAGGGGACCTTTGAATAATCAGGAGGAAAATCAAGCACAAGTATGCCATGTGTGGATATCTCTGAGAAAGTTATCAATGTTTCTGCAAGGTCATTCTGACAAGATTGCACATTTTGAAGATCAAGCTATTTATAGCATGAAAGAGGAATTTTTAATCTTTAATCCCACCTGCCTGCTGCCTCTAAAACTAAGCCCAACTCAGTAGTAGTCAGTGATGTGGTTTGCTAGGCCACAACCCCTGGGAATTGCCTCCAGTCCTTGCTAGGAATTGCTCACTTCCATAGAAATTGGCATTGTACAGGGGTGTCATATGGGTACATGTGAAGCGGACTCAGAATCACGACAGAGTCCACAGGTCATACTCTGGAGCTCGTTTGAAAGAAAATAAAATGCTTGATGCGTTTTAGGGGGCCTTTTACAATAAGGAAACAAATTCTGGGATACAATGCCTATTTTATTTCTTCATTTTTGCCCGATTGTGTGTTTCAAAGACATCTGCTTCCAAAAAATTAACTTTCTTGAATCTTCCTTTCCTTTGATATTGATTTCTCACTAACAGTCCCTGGAGTTAACAGATCCAGTGTCATGTTCACACTGCTCTATGGGATTTGAAGTCTTTGGATTTTTTTGCTGTTTCAAGTGATTATTATAGCTTCAGAGTCTATAGTGCGTAGAGTCACTGTGCTTTGATCTTTGAACGCATCTTTGGTATTGAGAAGATGAACCCCTGCATTTATATATACTAGCATAAGGCACTTTCTTGCACCTTGACATAATCCCATGAAAAAGGGAGGGTATCATCACCATTGTTTTCCAAGAGGAAACAGGGGATGAGAGAAAATGAGTGACTTGTCTATGGTCATGGGAAAAGTAACTGTCAGAGCTCAACTATATCTCCTGCCTACTGACTCCAAGTCCCAGGCTGCTTCTGTTAGTTATGCCATCTTTCAGAGAAAGACCAATTTCAACTATTTCATGACCATGCACTTACATAATCTGTGGAGTTATCTTTGGTGATAAAAAGTTGTGTAATTTGTATTCTCTTCTGATAGGCAAAGAGTGAATGGATGACCGACTTGCGACATGCCACTCGTGATATTTCCAAAGCCTATGGACATTTGACTTGGAAACAGGGTCAGATTAGTCTGCAGACACAGTATTTGCTTAGGGTAATTTTTTTTGTTTGTTTTTTTCAGACGGAGTCCCACTCTATCGCCTAGGCTAGAGGGCAGTGGGACGATCTTGGCTCACTGCAACCTCCGCCTCCCAGGTTCAAGCGATTCTCTTGCCTCAGCCTCCTGAGTAGCTGGGACCACAGGTGTGCGCCACCACACCCAGATAATTTTTGTATTTTTAGTAGAGACAGGGTTTCACCATGTTGGCCAGGCTGGTCTCAAACTCCTGACCTCAAGTGATCCCACCCGCCTTGGCTTCCCAATGTGCTGGGATTATAGGCGTGAGCCACTGTGCCTGGCTAGCTTAGGGTACTATTTTTAAAGGAACTTAGTGATCATTTTTCTGTCTTGAAGACTCATGTGGTCAAGTTGGAGTTATACCAACTATGGCATGATGTAACATTCAGCTTTGAGAGACAATTTGGTTGTTTCCTGCGATATGAAAACTGCAGTCTGCTCTTCAGTGTGCACGTTCCTTGCCCAACAAAACCATCAGCATTCTTGAAAGTTCTGCCTGGGTACAGCACCTTTATTCCTGTGGAGGTATAATACACTCTAAACACCATGAATAGTGTCCCTTGTGATCATTTCCGTCTGCATGATTATCTGCCCACAACTGAGAGAGTCTTAAGTTGCTTGAATAATGGAGATGCTTCACTATCTGTCAGTTTCCCAATATGGCCATTCAGTTCATTGTATGA